AAGACTATTCAAAAGGAGTGTTATAAACACTCCTTTTTTATTGCCCTATTTTTCTTCTCACCTCATCATATGGAAATTCAGACTATTTTCAGGGAGAAGACAATGCCAAAAACGATTCTTATTACAGGAGCAACCGATGGCATTGGCCTGGCTACGTCGAAGAAGCTTGTCTCTTTAGGGCATCACCTTCTGCTCCATGGGCGCAATCTGGAAAAGCTAGAACACGTAAGGGAAGAACTCTCTGATTTAACCAACACACTCTCTATTGAAACCTATGTGGCCGACTTGTCTCATATGGAAGATATAGAACAACTTGCAAAAGCTATTTCCGACAAGCACACGACCCTTGATGTGTTGATCAATAATGCCGGAGTCTATAAATCACCGACCTCTACGACACAAGAAGGGCTCGACATACGATTTGCGGTCAATACAATCGCCCCCTATCTTCTAACAAAGCGCCTTCTCCCATTGTTGAACGCCTCTGGGCGTATCATTAACCTTTCTTCTGCAGCCCAGTCTCCGGTCGATCTAAAAGCATTATCTGGACACACTCAACTTTCTGACAGAGAGGCTTATGCACAAAGTAAGCTTGCGATTACAATGTGGTCGCGTCATATGGCGGATTCTATTAAAGGAAATGGCCCAGCCATCATCGCAGTGAACCCTGGATCCCTGCTTGGTAGCAAAATGGTCAAGGAAGCGTTCGGCATCAAAGGGGGCGATATCAACATCGGCGCAGAAATCCTGATACGCGCCGCCTTATCAGAAGAGTTTGCCTCTGCTTCTGGTCATTATTTCGACAATGATTCAGGAAAATTTGCCGCCCCCTACCCGGATGCTCTTGATCCGAAAAGATGTGAAGAGGTTGTGATGACTATCAAAGACATTTTAGAAAAAATGCTTAGAAGAAATTAGAAGAGCCGACGTACTCCGAAAAAGAGTATCTACAATAAGGGAGACCAATAAAATACACTATCAAGGTAATCTTAGCATCTAAAAACCTAAGACTTATAACTTTGGCAAACAATTTTGCAGATGAGGGCTGATACGAACTGGTTCAATGCGTTGACATTTTCCCGTTTTATCATCTGTTTCGATATAAACACCACATAACGTCCCCTCCCCTGTTGCAGGTTGAAGACGTTCTGTCGGCATTTTATGAGTAAAACGACCAATCGGCGTATCTATTTTCATCCCAATGATCGAATCATAATCGCCGCACATCCCAGCATCTGTTTGATACCCTGTTCCTTCGGGCAAAATATGTGCATCCGCTGTAGGAACATGAGTATGCGTTCCCACAACAAGGCTGGCACGCCCATCGCCGCCTTTTCACTAGTGGTTTCTGCGTGCATATCAATGATCAATGCATGACAGGTATCGCCTAAAACATGACTTTCCAAAAGCTTTTGAACACTTTGAAAGGGGTCATCCAACGTTTCCATAAACAAACGCCCCATCACATTGATCACCGTCAGGGAAAACCCATTTGAAAGCGTGATACACACAACACCTGATCCTGGCGACCCTGGCGGATAGTTATGAGGACGTAAAAGACGCCTTTCCTCGTCATAGTAAGGAATAGAACCCCGTTGATCCCACGCATGGTTTCCGGTTGTAATGACATCCGCTCCCCAAGCGAACAAGTCTTCAGCAATAGCTTCTGTAATCCCGAAGCCCCCTGCAGCATTTTCTGCATTTACAACCACATAATCAAGAGACAACTGCTGCTTTAAGTCAGAAAGATATTCCTTAACAACATCTCGACCAGAACGCCCTACAAGGTCTCCTAAAAATAAACCTCTCATAAAAATTGGTACACTTTCTTTTCTGTGACAACCGCATCCAAGCGTTGGTCATGCTCTTCTTCTATCAGAGTGTCGCAGCGCTGACACTCAAAGGCAAGGCCTATTGCCTGAAAGTTCTTTTTTGGGCGCCATTTTTCCAGAAGACGATCGTAATGCCCTCCACCTTGACCGAGCCGCCCTCCACTTTTAGAAAAA